TCCGATCTTGGCGCCTGGTTTGTGTTCTATTATAAAGTCAAAAGGAATCAGTCTGTCTAGCCAACGTGTCAGTCGTGAAAAGAGTGTTTTGTTTTTCTTGTTATTCCCGTTAAGTAATGAAATCAGGGCCTTATGATCCGTGATAACTGTAAAAGATCTTCCTAAAATGTAGTTTCTGAAATATTCGGCCCCCCATACCACCGCCAGCATTTCAAGCTCGTTAGTGGAATATTTCTTTTCGGCTGCGTTTAAGAATCGTGATGCAAACGAGATAGGGCGCCACCCTTCTGTACCCAATTGCTCTAGAACCGCTCCAAGACCATTATGGCTTGCATCGCAGACAACTCTAATGTCTTTATGAATATCAAAATGTTTTATTTCAACTATGTTTGCGACCCCCAATTTAATGTTTTGAAAAGCATTTTCACATTCCGCGGTCCAGTTATATTCATTTCACTTGCTGAGAAGTGGCCTTAATGGAGCTGACATCTCCGCTATCGCTGGTAAATATTTATACAAGCTGTGAATTGAGCCCATAAATGATTTCAATTGAGTGACTGTTTTAGGAGCATTTAATGCGTCTATCGGCGATGTTTTGCGTTTAAGCCGCGTAACCCCCGTTTCGGTTATACGATGGCCGAGCCACTCGCATTCTCTTTTCGCAAACTCGCATTTTGGTAGTTTCAGTGATATGTTTTCGCGATTTAGTTTCCTGAGGATCTTTTCAACCAAGGAGATGTGTTCTACATCCGTTTCCTTGGTTGTAACCAAAAGATCATCAATAAACGCGTTCGCTTGTGGGAATTTGTTCAAAATTGAGTCCATTACTCGTTGAAACTCTGCCGGCATGGACGTTAGCCCGTAAAACCCTGTCCGGAATCGGTATGATCCCGTTGACCGTCCGCCCACCAGAGAAAAATTACAGTGCACGCTTGTTTCTTCACTAAGTGGTAGTTGCCCATACGGGTACGTTAGATCCATCGTAGTAAAATACACCTCCCCTTGTTTTTTCTCGGAAATAAGTTGTCCTATTGTATCTACAAGTTCTTCTATATTTGGCATTTGGTATTCGTTTTTATGAACTTGTTTAGTAAGCTCTCGAGATTCCAATGCTAACTTCACGGACCCGTCTTTTTTTACGGTGATGACGATCGGAGAAACAAAATATCGATCCGAACATTCTTTCAACTTTTCTATATGTCCCTGGGTTAATAGCTTATCAATTTCCTTGTCCACCTTTTCTTGGAGCGTTACCGGCACTCTCCGTCCCTTCTGCTGCACTGGTACAAGATTTTTGAAAAATTCCACTTGAACCTTGTAGTTCCAAATTTTTCCGACTCTAGTAAAAAGTTTTGGGAATAGCTTACTGAAGTATAATTGCCATTGGTCCATCTGCTCATCCTCCGATTCGTTGTGCCCTTCCTCACATGAATTGTCTTCCGTCCCCTGGATGTTCATTACTTCCCCCCTTGGATCTGCTTGCATCAACTGGAGTCCGAGTTTTCCCATCAAATCACGACCCACGATGGATGGTCTGGTCCCCCCAATGACTCGGACTTCTGCTTTCGTCTTCCAGCCGTTTGATGCTAACTCGAGTTCCATTCTGCCCAACATCTTGATCCAATTGTTGCTGTAATCCCGGAATTCGTCATTGTCAGCGTCATCTTGTTTTAAGTTAATTCCCGCTCTTCCCACTGTTCTCCTCAAATCGTCTAATGTTAAGATGGATATCGGCGATCCACTGTCGATCCAGATGTTCATCGGGTGTCCATTGATATATATTTTGAGTTTAGGTCCGGCAACTTTCAATAAGGTCTCTTTCTTCCGTCTGATTGCCATAACCATGTAGTCGTCGGAACTTTCTGATGACCAGCTGTGGTGTTCTCGTTTAACGAAACTTACTGAATTCGTTGCAACTTGGGGCCCCACGTCATCCGAGGGGGTATCTTCTTCCTCGAATAGCTCATACCCTTGGATTAGTCCAACCGGTTGCCCCCCCTTGACTGTCGTTTTCCCCGGCAAGTCCTCTCAAAATGCCCGACCTTTTTGCAAAAGTTGCATGTGATGGCTCTTGCTGGGCATCGCTGTCGGTGTTCTGGTGTGAAGTTCGGTTGATCGCAATTGTAACATCTTCGTTCTTGCATTCGTTCTTGTGTTCGACCTCCTCCACGATTCGAGTATTGGCCCCGTCCCCTTGGCATTCCTCGTCCCCTGGATCCACGAATATTGCTGATTGGTTCCGTTTTGATCTGCAGGGAACCCCCTGGCGATGGATAAACCGCTCCCGTGGAACCGGATGCGACGCCCTTGTAAGTCTTTGCGCACTTGTCCCCTCTTTCATACGACATCGCGATTCTCAATGCTTCCTCCGGGGTCTTAGTTTCCCGACACAGATCGTTCTGCGCGTCCCTGTTCCTCATATTGAATATAAATATGTCTCTCACCATTTTCCGCTCCTGGGTGCCCAAATTGCATCTTGCCGCCATTCCGCTAAGTTCTGCATAGAACGATTCTAAGCTTTCCCCCTCCTTTTGTTTCCTCGATAACATCTGGTACATCTCGTACGTTTCATTTCGCTCTTTCTGGAAGAGAGCTACACAGGTATCCAAAAAACGTGGGTATCGTATTGTTTCCATATTTAAATGTGGGTGCTGATTATGCAAGGCTCTCTGTCCCTCGTGTCCCAGGCATAGGTACAGATTCGATATCAGTTTACGTTCACCTTCTTCCCTTGGTTTGCCACCAATGTCACCCAGGTCATTAATCTGTGCTTCAGTCAATGTCGATGCAAAGTAAAATTCCGACGAGACTAGTCCATGTTTCGCCACCATTGCCCAATGAAATCGTTGTTTCCAGTGTTCCCATAAGAGTTGTGGTTCCGCCTGATTCGGAGGCCAGAATGCCACAATTCCAAGGGGGTTTTTCCCCCCTTCATCCACTGGCTGCGCCATAACAAGGAATGATAAAACGATGGCTGTTAAATACTGAATTGACTGTATTCTAGTTCGCATAAATAAGAGAGTGAACTAGAGGTCAACACATAACAGCTAGACAGTTCTAGGCTGATTGACAGGCAGGTACCAAACTCACACTTAATTATAGTGTGAGAACTCTCAGAGATAAGTAGATAAAGAAATAGCAACTAGGATGAATGACAACTGAACATTGTAGCCCCTGACAGCAGAGTACACCCTTGGTAGTCAAAGCCAACTAAAATTGAGTCAATGAGAGATCGTGTGACAGCGCCAGCGGTAATAGCAGTCGAGGGATCGAAGGACGGTCCAGGAGTTTTGAAAGGAACAGACCTAGGAACCGGCGGAAGGGTGGGGGAAGAAGAAATGTAGATAGAAGATAGCCTGTAGGCTGCGAGCTGATTAGTATAAATTGATTATATACAATAAAGTTCAGTGCAGTAAAATTGATTGTTATTGTGATAATAAAAAGACATCCTAGAGCATGTCTTTTTATTATTGTTTAAAATTTACGAAACATTTCTTTTTTTAGTTCTAACGCTTCACTTATAGATTTTTGAGTATTTCACTTTCTTTAGCTTATCATTGTGAATCAGTCCCTGCATATCCCAGCTATCGGGGAAACCAATTTAGCTATCACCGGCAAACAGCGCCTTACCCCCTTCTGATTTTCATAAAAGGGGAAACAGATTTTAAAAAATCAGATATCGATGTAATAATTTTGCGAGGGTGATTGGGGGTGTCGTAATTTTCATACAATTTTTAAAAAAAAACTTTTTTTGGGGCAACCCAATCTAATCAGAGAGTATCCTCCTTACACTATACAAGTCAAATTTCCTCAAAATCTGGCGTTGCAGACAAAATATTATAAACGCTCTTTTAAACTTCTGCTAGTTTTTCGGCTGTTTTTGCGCAAAATCTTACCATGTAATGAAAAATTTTATTACTCAAATTAGTTTAAAAGCGTATTTTCAAACAATCGGATCTCTTTAAAATGAACTTTGCAATCTCAACTCATGTTAGAAAGCTTTGGTCTTATGCACTAAACGAACCAAATTCATCAGTTCTACATTCTCTTCAACTGAAATTAGAATGTGGTTGAATCCGATTGGCTAATTGAAGTTATTAAGTTATTAGCAGATAAAGTTATTAGCCGAAATGATTCACAGTTTAGAGTTTTTGTTTTGTCAAGCCATTTTACTAATTTTTTTTTTTGGCTGGGCAAGGTAGCACGAGTGTTTCGAAATTAATTTGATTAATTTACAAAATTCCACCATTCGGTAATTTTGGCTTATATTTTTATCTGCTGGAAATGTTGATCGGAATGCTTGACCGCGTTGCTTGATATTGATTAGCTAAAATCTGCCAGTCAGATTCGATCGCATAAATTTTAGCTCACGATATAGAAAAGTTGGTTTCGGACCGTTTAGTGCATCAGACCCGAAAACTTTCTAATCTGATGCATCTGTTCATTCTTTTTGACCTCTCATCTAAATTAGAAGCTAAAATTTTCAACAACTATGTTAAAACTAATTTTGAAACTTTTCGGTCCGAGATTGAAAGTGAGGAGGAACATTGAATTTGGATTTGTTTTTTTTTCTCCACGCAAACACAAATACCCTAAATTAACATCGATCGAAATGGATCGAGTGATTTTAAAAAAATTTCAGCCCTGGTGTAAATGATGCTTAAAGTATGATAACTTTGTCCCAGTGACGAGAAAAAATTTATTTTTCGAGTTATAGTTTAGTTAGCGACAAAGCGAGCAAGCGAGCAGACTTATTGTAGAGAATAAGCCAATAAATTTAGTTTTTCTTCCGTAAAATGAACCTTGAAGGTTTTTCGTCTATTTTGAGATTTGAAAACTTCAAAAAAATTCTGCAAACAAAATGAAATTTTTTGAAAGTTATGATTTTTTTGATTTTCTAGTCATTTTGCATTTTTCGACTAAAATTGCTGTCCAAATTGATTTTTTTACAATGACTATGTGTGTATATTATATTTTTGATTTTGAAAAGAAGAGCCTACCGTGTGTTTTACTGATTTGTCGCAAAAGGGACAAGAAACATCAAATATTCCACCAGAAATCTGTGTTTCAACGTGAAGTTTGAAGCACATATAGCACACAAAATTTTTGCAGCAGCTCAGTTTTTCACCGCTGGCTAATTCTAAGCAGATAAAACATAGCAGCCATGTTCGTCTCTCGGTCGAAAAACTGGCTTCGGATTGCGTTTCAGGTTGTATGATTGAATTATTGTGATGAGTATCATTAGATGATTCTAGAAAATTCTCTGTGCTGTAATTGGCTGATTCTGCGCTGAGTTGGATTTCAGTAAACTGTGACATTTCGAGCTCGTCTGGCGTTTCTCCGGAAGTTTCTTTCCCGGAAGAGTTGCCCTCTTCAACTTCCGTTCGTGGGTTCTCATTGTCAGGTTTTACAGGAATTTCAGAAGTCATAATTTTTCACCAGTATTACAATCCTCGAGTTAATTTTCAACTGGAGCAAACATAAATTTTTTTTACAAAATTGTTCATGTACCCGTTTAAGAACTAATTAAATGAAGGAAATAAAATCAAAACAAACGGAAAATGATATTTTAGATTTTGTCAATGATATAGACTTACTCAGCTCCTAAACCACGCCGATTTAACTTATCTTAAAACAAGTAAAATTCATCGCTCTTTGGTTTTGACGCGGAAATAATAACTATTTGGAAAACTTGATACTAAAGGAATCTTCTAAGTAAATTTAATTGAAGGCAAAAGGTGAATAACTTAAAGAGACTTTTTGCAGGTCTTCTGAATAATATTAAATTATTAATTTTGGCGAGATTTTCTTTTCAATCAAATGGTGCAGAATATTCACATGATGAAAATATGTAAAAGACCATTGTTTTGGTTGTATCTTTTATGGTTCTTTTTGGTCGCATTTGAGAAAATCAGAGTGCAAGTAAAAAAAGGTTTAAATATAAATAAACGTGCATCGCATGGTAAAACTAAGCACACATTTTTGATTTCCAATATTTTTACACAATGCATCGCAAAGCAGAGCTCACACAAATAAAAAGAAAAAATTCAACCGTTTGAAACTTAATAGGTGTATAATGCAGAATATCAAATTATCAAAAATTCGAAGGTGCAGAAAAACGCTTGAGTTTTGAAAAAATAACAGCGGGCCAAATAGCTAATGAGCCTAAAGTCGACTCTTTTTTGTTGTTAGGTTTCTGGGATTCTCCCTGTTAATATCATAGAAATATCTATTAGTTTTTTCAGTCCCAATACAAATCCGAAGCGTATTCAGACGTGGAAGGCTCTGTTACATATCAACAAACCGGTGCCAAGTAATTTGAATGAGTAAATATTTTAATTGCTACAGGATATCAAAATAGAAAAAAATGGACACAATTTGAATGAGTAAATATTTTAATTGCTACAGGATATCAAAATAGAAAAAAATGGACACATTACGAGGCCAAACTGTGCACTGGATAGGAGCACAATTTTGTGTCTGTATGTTCCTGGATTCCAGAGACAAGTCTTAAAATATGTTCCAAAATGTAAGTGGATTCCACAAACAAAATTTCAATTGATTCCGCATACATATACCTGTAAGGTAAATTTTGTCGCCACATTTGTTTTGTTGCGGATTCCGCAACAAGCAAATATAGCTAGTTGTTTTGGATTAGGCAACTGTAAGTGGATTTCGCAAAATGTATGCGCAATCCGCAAATTTATGTGGATTCCGCAAACTGTAAGTGGATTCCGAATTCTGTTCAATACTGAACTTGCATATGAACAATTAAAAACTTAGCTGGAATTCTTATCTCTAGCGATGCGGAATTTAAAAGCAAAGACTTGAACCTTGTCAGCGGAATCAACAAACAAGTCTTAAAACATTGGTAACCTAAATCGGTGGATGTCATCTTTTAGTATTTTGGAAACAAAACACCGAACAATTTCAATATTTGGAGTCATTGAGTTGAGAGTGTATGGAACACACATCATATCAACAAATTAGGTCAGTATTTGGGATTGCGTCAATCCCAAATACTGATTTTGGAAGCATAACGCCGAATAAATGCAGTAATTGTAGTAATTGGGTTGAGAGTGTATGGAAACACAACACACAGCATATCGTCAAATTAGGTCAGTATTTGGGATTCCATCAATCCCAAATACTGGTCAGTATTTGGGATTGATGAAATCCCAAAAACTGGAATAATGTGGAATAAATATGGAAAATATCCATTATTTGGAGTCATTAGGTTGAGAGTGATTAGAAACCCAACGCTTAGCAAATCGTCAAATTAGTTCAGTATTTGGGATTCCATCGATCCTAAACACTGGTCAATATTTGGGATTGATGAAATCGCAAAAACTGGAAATAATGTGGAATAAATATGGAATTTATACATTATTTGGAGTGATTAGGTTGAGAGTGATTAGAAACCCAACGCTTAGCAAATCGTCGAATTAGTTCAGTATTTGGGATTTCATCGATCCCAAATACTGGTCAGTAATTGGGTTTCCAACAATCTCAAACACTGATCTAAACTAATAAATTTCTATTCTAGTAAACTTTTATTCTAGTGAAATCAAATCATGTATAATGATATAATCATGATATAATTTTAAAGGCTACTGCACATATAAATATATCTAAAGGGAATCCGCAAACAAAATGCGGATTCCACTTACAGTTTGCGGATTCCACTTCCAACTTGCGGATTCCACTTAGAGTTGCGGTTTCCGCAACAGCTCAATTTCTTGATACAAATGTTTTATCATTTGTTTGTGGATTCCACAAACTGTTCTAGATTCCGCAAATACAGTTGCGAATTCCGCAAATTCGCCTACTTTTCGAGCGATTTTGAGCGGTACAATGATTAATGTATTTGTTTGTGGAATCCAAAACAGCATAGAAGATCAAATTAAAGTAGCAATGTTGCGGATTACGCAACAAATCTGATTTTGGCCTGTTGCGGATTCCGCTTACGATGCAGAGAATGCACAGTTTGGCCTCGTAATGCACACCATAATTGACAAACGCTACAGAAATTTTTGCGCATGACACTTTTCATATGAACAATTTTACTCTTAAGTGAAATTTCGCGACAGTCAAAACAATTCTCGCAGTAACAAATGATGTGATATGAGAAGCTAGTCTTGAAAAACCTCTCATGTGCGAAGGACCGAACGGCAAAAAAACTTGCCAGCTAAGCGACATTCGTTTTTTCCTAATTCAAAAGAAATAAGGATTGAAATCAATCAATATTGGACAGTTTAAAGCAGTAGCGGGTTTAGGTCTGCGGACGCATCTTCCCTAAGGGATTCGACCCCCTGCCGACCCAAAGAGTCCCAAATTTGTACTATTTTGAGATATCCACTTTTGGATGACTGACCTTCAAATTTTTCTAAAGGCGCCTTGAGCGCCAATATATACTAATTTTGAGGGGGGGTAGCACCAATTAAACGCAATTTTTTGAAAAATGGCCAATACAGGGTTATAGAGTGATTTGGTAGAGCTCAGAAAATTTGAAGATCATTAGAGTGATTTGAAAAAAGTCGAGAAAAATTTGAAAAATCCGCACCCCCCCCCCCCCCTCACGCTCGAGAAATTCCCAGATTCGCGCCTGGTTAAAAGGACTTTATTGTTCCGTCCATTGGTTTTATTGTATTCGTGTGTGTTTTATCATTTTTTATTTTTGTTTTCAATGCAAAATCAGGAACCACAAATAAAAATCGGACTGCGTTGAGTGATACATCATGTTAAAGCCCTTACAGTCGCGGTTTGAAGGACATTTATGTACTTAAAAAAAACAGTTTTGAGAAAGAACAGTTTGAAATTTTTGATTTTTTCTGTCTTATTTCGTGCGAATAGAGTGAGCGAGCAGTCTTACTTTGATTGCTCAAAAACTAACAATAGCTTATTTTAAGTTATAAAATTTTAGTTTTACTTGAGTAACCTTAGTATAATATAAGTATTCTAGCGCATTATTGAAATCAACGCATTCAACTCAAAAAACTGCAAAAATAGGCTCGAAAAAAATTTTGCAAGTTTTTGTTTTGCTTTTTTTCTTTTTGTAGTAATTTATCTCCAAAAATTGCTTCTCATTTTGCTTATTCTACTATGACTATTGAGTATAATTAAGCTCCAGTTTTTATTAAGCTCCTTTTATCACACCACGCCGAAAGAAAAACATTAATTTGAAAAATTTCTGGTATTTTTGAAGACTATGGTCGGAACATTATGTGCTTCTTGCACAGTAACCGGCTATCCTTGTGTTATTAGTTCAATTGTCGAAATACATGATGCTTGGGGTAAAACAGATTGTTCGCCATTCAGCTTTAAGTGATAACATTGAAGGAATTTATCGCAAATTTTAAACAGTACTTAATCAATATCGAGCGCTGATTTAAGCTATCCGGATAGCACGAACAAAAATGAACTTTCAAACGCGTTTATCTGAAATTGGGTTATATTTAAATAACTAGTGAACAGAAAAAAAACTTCACCAGAACTAATATGATGTAACTTACTCTTTAAAAATGCGGCTAAAATTTTCCCCCAAAGATGATTGATTTAGGTGTCTTACTTCATCAAAAGTAACATTGAAACAACCAAGTTAATTGATGAGCACGTTATATCAAATGAAGACTCTTGCATAGCCTAACAAAGTTTAAAGAATGGTAAAATTTTCAAAAATTTGCTTGAAACGTTTGAAGCTTGTCCTCAACAAAACTTCTGATTTCTGTTCAGTAAAAATTACCGTTTTTGGTTATCCACAAAAATTATATTGTCTCACCCGGTTTAATTATACAAATCCATAAACTAAGTCTATAAAAAAATTTTAGTCATGCAAATTTCATAAAATTTGCTGAAATGAAATCATTGAATTTTGAAAATTTTTTTATTTTGGCATAAATTTCGAGGTATCGTCTAAAACAAGGTTGATCATACAGCTTCCACATATTGAAGTTCTATGACTAGCATTTTTTAATGGCAGCAGCAAAAATTTTTCGAAGTAGTATCAAAAATCCTCAGGAAAAGGGTTTTTTTAATCGCAAAATGAAATTTGTACTCGAAAATTAATTTTGTTGTGTGCAAAAAATAGCTCTGAATACACAAAAACTAATTTTTTCTGTTTCTCAAGATAATTTTCAAATTTGCTCAAAACGGTCTATTATTTTTGTTTGGCATGTTTTTGTTTATGACTTGATCAATGCAAGATTGAAAAAAACTTCAATTTTTTTAAAATCAGCACTGAACATTTTTGCCAAAAATTAAAAGTTTGATAGTTTCTTTATATCAATTGCTTAAGACAAAACTAAGACAATCAAGGCCTTTTACGATTGATTGTAACTGCGAGACGGTCAAACCTTTAGTGACTCTCCCCTTGAGTAACCAAGGTTTTTGCCACTTGTGTTTGGTTATAAACACAACCTAAAAATTTTGAGAAATTCAATCTTTTATAGAACAAATTTTTTTTGTTTAATGGAAATTTGCTAGTGATACTATTTGCATATATAAAAAATTGCCGATCATAGACCTTTCATGCACTATTGAGAACTGATAGAATTTGCATGAAAAGGGTTTGAGTAGCATTTTTTCTTCCGTATATATAAATTATATAAAAAAGCATTTTTGGTCAATGCGGGTATATAGGTTTTTGCAAAGTTTCAACTTTCTAGAACTTTGTTGGTCTGTATAAGAGGCTTCTCTTGATAAAATTTTCTCATCAATTTATTTGGCTTTCAGCGTAATTCTTGATTGACTAAAAAAAGCAAAATCACCCATTTTTGAGGAAAATTTTGACAGCGAATTTTGAAAGGCTAATTGCTTCATAAAAATTCTGGTGAAAATATCAGCAATTTTTTTTTACTTTTTGCCTAAGTTTAATCCAATTTGAGAAAAATGCGAATGAAATTTCAGCTTTTGTTCGTTTTATCCGGATAATTTAAATCAAAACTGTAATAGAGCAGAACTGATTATTTCCAATGCCGGAGATAATTCGAAGCCATGAACCGCTTTTACGCTGCACAAATTCTCTTTGATAATTTGATCTACTGATTCTTTTTTAATTTATGAAGAAAAAATGAATGTATTCAGCAAGCAGATTTACACTTATATCACATCAAAAAATTAAAGCTGTTTCTTTGACTTGTCAATTTCGATCATTGTAAATATGATATGCGGCTGAAACAGAATTGATTTCACAAAGTCAATAATAGTAACTTGTTAATTTTTGCTTAAGGTTTTCATAAAAAATATGCTTTCATTTATTATTAGGATCGTCACCCTGTGTGAAAATACTACAAAAAATATGTTTGTTAAAATGGGTCATTTGTGAGAATTTCTGTATGTGAAACTGATGCCTTAACTAAAATTTGTTGGTATAGTTGAGCACGATTGGATCCCTCAACTAAAATGAATATTCAAATGATATGAGAGATGTATTTAGGGTAGGGGGACGCAGCTTCTATTTCAGGAAATCAATCCCCTCACCAACAAAATGGTCCCTGTTTCTGTGACAGCCAGTTTCGGCGACTAAATTCAAACAAAATTTCTGATTTCTGTTTCTTAAAAATGACCGTTTTTGGTTATCAAAAAAAATTATATAGTCTTACCCGTGTTAATCATACAGTTTCATGAACTAAGTCTTTGAAAAAAATTAAGTCATACAAAATTTAAAAATTTAGCTGAAATGAAGTCATCAATTTTTGAAAAAATTCTTATTTTGGCATAAAAATCGAGGTATTGTCTAAAAGAAAATTTTTTGTCAAAAAAGGCTGATCATACAATTTCTACATATGGAAGTTCTATGACTAGCTTTTTTTGATGGCAGCAAAAATTTTTCGAAGTATTATCGAAGGTCCTCAGGAAAAGGTTTTTTTTATCGCAAAATGAAATTTGTACTCAAACAAAGATTTTCTTTGGAATTTTTTTTTGCATGCAAAAATTAGTTTTGTTGTGTGCATAACACAGCTCTGAATACACAAAATTTATTTTTTTCTGTTTCTCAGGATAATTTTCAAAATTGCTCAAAGCAGCCTATTATTTTTGTATGGCATGTTTTTGTATGACTTGATCAATGCATGATTAAATAAAACTTCAATTTTTTTGTAAATCAGCACTGAACATTTTTGCCAAAAATTAAAAGTTTGATAGTTTCTTTATATCAATTGTTTAAGACAAAACTAAGGCAATCAAGGCCTTTTGAATTGATTGTAACTGCGAGACTGTCAAACCTTTGGTGACTCTCCTCTTGAGTAACCAAGGTTTTTGCCACTTATGTTTGGTTATAAACACAACCTACAAAATTTGAGAAAATCAATCTTTCATAGAACAAATTTTTTTGTTTTATGGAAAGTTGCTAGCGATACTATTTGCATATATAAAAAATTGCCAATCATAGACGTTTCATGCCCTATTGCGCACTGATGGAATTGACATGAAAAGGGTATGAGTAGCATTTTTCCTTCCGTATATATACATTATAAAATAAGCATTTTTTTGATCAACGCGGGTATAAGGTTTTTGTAAAGTTTTAACTTTCTAGACCTTTGTTGGTCTGTGTAAGAGGCTTCTCTTGATAGAACTTTCTCATCAATTTATTTGGCTTTCAGCGTAATTCTTGATTGACTAAAAAAAGCAAAACCACCCATTTTTCGGGAAAAATTTGGCTGCGAATTTTGAAAGGCAAACTGCGTCATAATAATTCTAGTGAAAATATCAGTAAATTTTTTTTCTCATTTTTTGCCTCAGCTTAATCCAGTTTGAGAAAAACGCGATTGAAATTTCAACTTTTGTTCGTTTTATCCGGATAATTTAAATCGACACTGTAATAGAGCAGAACTGATTATTTCCAATGCCGGAGATAATTCGAAGCCATGAACCGCTTTTACGCTGCACAAATTCTCTTTGATAATTTGATCTACTGATTCTTTTTTAATTTATGAAGAAAAAATGAATGTATTCAGCAAGCAGATTTACACTTATATCACATCAAAAAATTAAAGCTGTTTCTTTGACTTGTCAATTTCGATCATTGTAAATATGATATGCGGCTGAAACAGAATTGATTTCACAAAGTCAATAATAGTAACTTGTTAACTTTTGCTTAAGGTTTTCAGAAAAAATATGCTTTCATTTATTATTAGGATCGTCACCCTGTGTGAAAATACTACAAAAAATATGTTTGTTAAAATGGGTCATTTGTGAGAATTTCTGTATGTGAAACTGATGCCTTAACTAAAATTTGTTGGTATAGTTGAGCACGATTGGATCCCTCAACTAAAATGAATATTCAAATGATATGAGGGATGTATTTAGGGTAGGGGGACGCAGCTTCTATTTCAGGAAATCGATCCCCTCACCAACAAAATGGTCCTACTTTCTATGACATCAAATTTCGGCGACTAAATTTAAAAACGCCAATGTATACTAATTATGAAAGGGAGCGCGCGCCAAAAAAACTCAATTTTTCGGTGAAAAAAGTTTTTAAAAACTGCCAAAAATTGTAGTTTTTTCAGTTTTTTAAAGCATGGCCGCGGCGCAGCCAATTTAGTCAAATTTGGTTCTTTATAGTGTTCGAGAGCGGTCGTTCTGAAAAAAAAAGTCCACTAAGTTTTTAAAATTCCGTTTCACCCCTCGAGAAAAAGATAGAACAGCCCCTGGTCATAAACAAGCTGTGTTTTCCCCAATTGTCTGTGTTTCAAAGAGTGTACTGAACCATGTATTTGGGCTGTTTTATTTCTCTAGACAAATTTTTGACTTTTAGGTAGCGTTTTTTGACAATTTAGTATACAGTATGATAGATAAAAATTTGCCCATGTTGATTTTAATCATTATCGTTTTTCCATAGCCGTAAATATTTAGTTTTAAGAAAAACACTCAATGCTTAAATTTTCCATACTAGATGCAACTTATATATGCGATACGAGAAACTTGATGTTTAAATTTAAAATTTTTTTGTAGTGTCGAAAACACTGATTTCAAACTTTATTGAGAAAACATCAAAATTTAGTTCTTTTCCAGTTGACCCAACCCCCCCTCCCCGGAAGATTACAAAATTAAACTTTTCAAAAATTGTTCACTCGGCGTTTTGTATATAAAAAGTGTTGTAAGAATTGATCACTGTTTACGCTGAAACGTTTTGATGCAGTTTATAACAAGAAAAGTAATTTTAGACTTTCGTATATTGAAATTCAGAAGAAAATGAAATGGGTGAACTGGAAAAGAGCCCAAAGTTTATTTTACAAACGAGCAATAGTTCGAGAGGGAAGCACCATGTAGTGGTAGTTGAACATTGTTGGCAGCCATGATATGACGCAGCAGTTTCATTTTAGGCTTGGTAACTCTCGGTTTCCTGGACAAAACATATGCCATCTCTAACTTTTCAGTCAGCATTGATTTGTGACATATATAACACGTATAAACCAGCGCTACTTGGTTGTCTATGTAGAGAAATAGTAAATTCGGCTCGGTCGTTTTTGGAGGATACAGATGTGGACTGTTTTCAAAGTCGTATAATTTGCATAAGAGTCTGTTAAATCCGATACATCCCAATTCATCGAACTTTAATGACTGAACAAATTCACCTTTGTGTTCAAACGTTTAAGATTAGTGCTATATTGTGTTTCTGTTAAAGTTATGTTTTTGTAATCTGTATTGCAACAAAGTTGTGTGGCTTCATTTAAAAGATTTTCATCTAAATTTTCAAAAAACTGCAATTAAATGTATTTAAATGCAATGTATGTTTGATTCTAGCAAGATCAAAAAAATCCGAACGTGCCTGAAATTTTTCTCTGATAAAAACCCAAAACAAGATTTTTGAGGAAAAATTGATGACAAAAAATGTTTGAAAAAAATTGAAAAAGATGAAAAAATTTAATCGATGTAAATAAAACTACTGAAGTCTAAAGTGCACAAATCCTAAAAACTGCTGGCCTTAACCTCTCTTAAGTCCATTTTCGTGCGAACTCCAGTTTGTCTGCAACCTTTGGTTCGATTGTGAGCTTCTGTTCCCTGGGTCGTAACGTCTTTCATTTTTTGCAGTCTGGGTAAGAAATAATGGCTCAGCCATACATTCGTATCTGTTCAGCCAGTAGAAGCATGAAACCATTCTCATCGGTATTTGGGTTACTCCTGAAATGTAAGATGAAAATTGAGATAGCTGAACATTCGCACTTCACGGGTCGAGGTCCGCGACTTATTTTTAGACTTTCAAAGTCTCGCAAAAGTTAACTCTTGCAAATCATAGTCTAGACCGAATTTAAAGTCGCCGACAAATATTTAAAGCATTGAATTGCAATCGCGAAAGCCGGCCCGAACTGAGAAACTTGAGATTCAAATCGATTTAAATCGATTTTTGTACAAAAAAATATACCTTATAGAAATTGATTTTTAAAAACCCATTCAAATACGCAAATCGATTTAGATTGGATTATATGTTTTTACGATAGAAACAAAATCTTTTTTATTGAATAAAAATTGTATGTAAATGGATTTTCCCAAAGTAGTGAAAATCATCAAAATCTTATCAAAATGGATTTAACTTAACTATTCAGTCACGCTGCCGTCACAATTTGCGATTAGTTTTTTTTTCGGGTCGTGTTTTTTAGTTTTTTTCGCGGTTAGTTTTCTTGGTTGTAACGGTCAGACCTATTTTTCGTCGGTCACGCCGGTCGAGCTTAACTTTTCTGCGGTCGTGCCGGTCGCATTTACTTTTTTCGGGTCGTGTCGGTTGCAAACGTTTTTTTTTAATCGCTCGGGTACTGGCTAATTTTTCTCTGATTTTGATGCTGGTTGTGATTAACATTTCATTGATTGCTGTTTTTTGTCTGAAGTCGTCTCTAACTTTTCAAGGATTGCGCCGCTCGTGTTTAAGATTTCCCATTTCCCTTTTGTCTAACGTCGTGTTTAGTTTTCATTTGGTCTCGACGAGCAGATATAATATTTCTCCGGTTGCGCCGTTTGTAGTTAACCTTTTTTTAGCTCACGCCGATCGCGGTTAATTTTTTTCAGTCAGGCCAGTTGCAGTAATTTTTATTTGGGTTATGGCGCTCTCTAGCATTTTTTTTGGTCGCGCCAGACGCTGTTTCTTCGTTCACGTCGGTCGCGGTTAACTTTCCTTCGATCGCGCCAGTCGCGGAAACATTGCCTCGGTCTGCAAAGTCTGAAAATACCAAAAACACGCAAATTCGTTTGCAACAGTTTGATATAGCAAAACTCGTCGCAACCACTGATCATAAAACCACAGCATAGACCCGGGTGATGCCTCTTTTTTGGCATGGCCAGTTTGAAATCAATTAACACGCAGTTACTGATCGCTGAATACTTTCTTGCCTTGTGCAAGTGATTGCTTCTTGGAGCTCTGTAGAACGTTAAGACGTATGACTTTAATATCTGCTTAGTCGTAGAATCATGTATGTACTTAAATCGGTATGTACTTATGAATTTTTAAATTTTTCTGCGGCTGAGCCGTCTTGGCTACTTTTTTATGATTGCGCCGTTCAAGTCTAATTATTTTTCGGTCACGCTGGTCGCGGCTAACTTTTCTTTGGTTGTGCCGACCGCATTTAACTTTGCTTTGGTTGCGACCTTTAAAACGGAATTTTTTCTTTTAGGACAGTTGCAGTCTGTTATTCTTCGTTTTTTCCATTCCCAGTGATGTCTTTTTCCGGTGGCGCCGGTTGCGTCTAGTTGTTCTTCGGTCACGTCGGTTGCGGTTACTTTTCTTCGTTTGCTCCGACCACGAATATAAATTGTTTTATCACGCTGGGCACATTTAATTTTTTTTTTGGTCGCGATGGTCGAAGTTAAATTATCTTTGGTTGCGATGATCGCAGTCGATTCTTTTTGGTCGCAGTTTATTTTTCTTTGGTTGCTCCGGCTGCATTAATTTTTTTTTTCAACCACGCCAGTCCCAAACGAACTTGTATTCAGTCGCGCCGGTTGTGATTAACTTTTCTTAGGTCGCGCTGGTCGCGCCTATTTTTTCTTTTCTCGGGCCAAAGGGTAATTTTTTCCTTGGTTGCGCTGTTCGTGGCCCATTGCGAGGCCAAACTGTGCTTTTTGGGAAATATAAGCGGATTCCGCAACAAGGACGCTCCCTTTGTTCTTTCATTTTCATTGATCGTTCCGACAAAGTTTTAACATGTTTAAAGACTTGTCTCTGGAATCCAGGTACACACAGCCACAAAATTGTGCGCCTATCCAGTGCACAGTTTCGCCTCGTAATGCCGCATCTCCTCGGGTGGACAAACCAGCAACTATCAAATTTCGGTCGCAATGGTCTGGCAATACCAAAATTTGGCCGCGGTAGACTAATCATAAAACAGCGATATCGGTACGGGTAGCAACCATTGGAACAATTAGTTTTTTGTTTTTGTAAGATATGTTGTTTATTGGAAACGGTGAAGGAGTCAAAACTTGACATAGGTTTTTCGATTGTTTCTTGCAGGTATCGTAAAAGTTTTTGATCAAAGTGCCTTCAGTAGTTTTTTAAATATTTCAAAATAAGAAATTTTAACATGTGAAAAGACTTGTCGCTGGATTCCAGTGTCCTAAAGACACCAACTTGAGCGCCTATCCAGCGCACACTCTGGTCTCGTAATGAAAGCTATGAATTGGATAAAGCACCAATGAAGGAATTCACGAGGATCAGTCCATCTTTTTTTTTCATTATTTGCTAAGTTCGGTAGTGATAATTTTTTATCAAATGAACAAAAAAGACTTGTAGTGTTAAGTCAATCTGAGTATCTACCCAGCAATAACTGAACGGATACGTTTTAGTTTGATCAAAACTATTTGTCTATTTTGTTTCTATTAAAAATTTGTTAATTTTTTTTCAACAGTAAACTTTTAAAATAAGGCAAACTTATTACCTTCAGATTCAACTGCAGCTGAAAAATTTGCTATTCTACAGATGGGTACAAAGAGCTGTTTGGGAAATTTGGGGCAATTCACTTCTCTTTGGGGGTAGGAAGTTGACCTATGGGTCACGTGCCACTTTCCCTCGAGTTCAGCTGGCCTGACCTTAACGTGAGTTCTGACATCACAAGACAAAGAAGGCGATGACCAAAGAAACGCGCTGGAATTTAAAACAGAACATAAAGAAAATAACAAGTAGTGTTTGATTGAAACGACTTTTTGCAAAATTGAGCTTCTCATGGCAAAAATCAGCTGGTAGAATAAGTTTATGCGATATTGACTAATTGACCGACCTTTCATTAAAGCAAAGCATTAAAGTTCAGAACGATTTGATTCTGAATAGGTTAGTTTGCTTTGTATTTACAATGATATGTTTTCAGAAATGAGGGTTGAAGTCCAGTCAAGCAGTAAAGTTTTAGAATCTTCTGGCAACAAAAAAATGAAGTTTTAATCCTGGGAAGTTGTTATAAATTAAAAAAGACCTAAGGTCAAGGCTTGATTAACCGATTTTTTATACGTTTTGATATACCGGAACCGGAGAATCAAAGATATATTTTTTATCGATGTCAAAACTTTACGAACTAATCGTTAAAAATAGTTTCAACTTCACTCAATTTTTTTACAGGAATGTCTTGAAAAAACTGGGTCTTTTGGCCGTAGTTTTGAGAAACAATTACAATCTAAAATTTCGAATCAAGGGATTTACAGCTTATCGTCAATTAGGTCAAACTTACAAAAAAAATCCTTAAATTTCTACTAAATTGAGTGAAATGTACAGATTATATGAATTATGCAACTATATTTTCCAATAGCTATGTTAGTAAGACGAAATAAAATACCTTACACTTCCCGCTTTAGATGGCTTTCAAGTTCATTGTTTTCTATACCTCAATAATTACCGAAGTGACGGAATTTTTGTGGCCAGGGTGATTTTGGTACTGACAAGTATCGGTTTTTCAACTAGAACTCTTCGATAGAATTGATAATACCATCTAAAAGATAACGATGTCCTGAAATCAAATAGAAAATACCAGGGCTATTGAAAAACTATCAATTGCCTAACAAGACTGCTCGTGAATCAGGGCAAAGCCTTGAATGTTCCGACTGTCCCTTAATTCATATCGAATAATTTTGGGAAAAGAAAATATTGAAAACCTATAAATTTTGAACAATAACACAGATCAAGTGTGAAAATTCAACTTATGAAACTAATCCGACCAATTAGTTAGCCTCAATTCAATTAGGAACGATTTTGTTGTGCGGGATAATTCGCCACGCATAAATAATTCGCGTTAGGCTCTCAGCATTATGGATAAACTCTCCACAGTGCACTTAATTTAGTCTAGAGCATGACCACTTTGGTAACTTTCAAACCTCCAGAACTATATAAAAATTAATCGAAGTTGAAATATTTTTTTTAAATTTGAACCCAGGAGGTCGATATCTTCAATGAGGTATAAAAAAGTTATGTTGAAAACTATTATTTCGATCGGCGAAAATGACTGAACAAAAATCACACCGAGCATTAATATTCCGTTTTATTCAAATGTCGGAACAATTAATTGCCTAAAAAATAGACTGGTTGTGATAAAGTTGAAAAATAGTTTCAAAAAATTCATGTAAGTAGATGCAAATTATAGCGGTAACAACAACACAAATGAGCACGATTCAAAGTTGCCGGTCTGCGGTTTCATGACCAAATCAATGGCTTCAAAAACGAGAAGAACTAAAGCAACGACGCGCTCGTGTCCGTGTGCTGAAGATGAGTAACGCAATTATCAAGTAGAAGGCGCTTTGGCAAAAAAAATCATGAGTTAACTAGCGGGTCAGTTGAGCCTATGATTCCAAATCTAGCGAGAAAAAGAAGGATCAAATTGAACGTATGGTCTGCGTTGCGATAGGAACAGCCATTAAAAACCTGAAAAGCGAGATGTTAACGGCTGCCAAATTCAAGCTTCCTCTCAATTAATTTCAATAATCTGAAATTGCTTCCAGCTTGCAAAAAGCTAAAATAATAAAATCCTCGAGACATTCTTTGGATCTTCGGAGTTGCCCAATACCAACGATAGCACATAGAGTGCCATCTTGTTGTCATAGAGGAAAACCGATTGTTGTTTGCGTTTCAAACTGTCGAAAGAATCAGTATTGAGTCCACTCTTGTTTTCGGTACCTAGTTATTTTAGGCCTTGTTGAGTTGTCTCACAGATGAAACTTTTTGCACCTAGACCGGTCATGATATTCTAAAATAATTCAAATCTTAATGACAATTATTCAAAACGGGCTGCTGATATATGACTGCACTGCTTTTTTTTAAAAAAATTGATTTTTTATTCAAAAAAATTCACTAAATTGATTTATTTCGAAAAAAACTGGCAGCGTTTTGGAAGGAGTTTATTTGAAACTTATAATTTGAAGATACTTATATTTTGGGAAAAATGGAGCTATCTTGCACAAAACTTGTTCTGCCGAAAAAAACTTTAGAACTTTTAAGTGTGCGCACTATTTTATTCATATTTTTTGTTAAAAACCGCCAAACTTTCTACATAAAAATGAAATTTCATGTTTAATGTGGCCATACGCAATAGTTTATGAAAAAAAAAACGATTATGCTTAATCTCTCTAATCATTTTTAAAGTTATTTATATTTTCGGTTAATTGAAATATTGATTGAACGCTGCACAGCTTGCTGATTAAAGTTGTAAGCCCCCGCTGAATATTTGATTTTGAGAATTCTACTAGTTTTCGAGATACGGCAATTTTCCAATTTTTGATTTTTCAGTCTTACGAATTTTTCTGATCTCACTGTCAGAATTCTTCGCGTTTCAATATAACGGTGGTTGAAAAATATTCGAAAAACCATGTTCTATGTAATTTTTAAAATTCCGTTTAATGCATTTTTCTTTGCGTTGTCTGTTAGTATCAAATGGCAAGGTCGGTACTTGTGACTTGCTCAAAGAATTGACTAGGTTCAATAAAAATATTTTCAATGAAGAAACCCGGGTTGACAAAAAATGCTTATCATACTATTTCAAAAAATGCTTATCATACTATTTCATAGAACAAAAAAAACTATAAAAATAGCATGATAAGCATTTTTTCATACTATGAAATATCATGATAGGCATTTTTTCTATACTCAGGCAAAAAAAATGTTCGCAAAAAATCATATTTGAGCACAAAAGCAAGTTTGCAACCAAAAAAGGGATTAAAAACTTTTTACCTCAAATTTGTGTTTTTGCTTGTGAAAAAATGCATATCAACAATTTTCAAATATGAAAATTATATGATAAGCGTTTTTTGACTAAAATTAAAATCATGTTTTCGAGAGTCAAAATGCATTCTTTCAATAATTTTTTTAAAACTCATCTAAATTTATCCAGAAACATCGTTAAATTAATTTTGAAGATTTTATTTATTCTATAGCAAAATGCCTAGCTAACAATTTTCAAAAATGAATAAATTATGATAAGCTTTTTTTGACCGAAATTAAAATCATGTTTTTATTCAGCAGAAAGAATCAAAATAGTTTTAAAAGTTTTAAGAGTTTTAATGCATTTTTTAAATTTTGTATGAAAATTGTATGAAAAGCATTTTTCCATAGTCGCCATATATGAAATTTTGTGATAAGCATTTTTCTTTTATGGACGTCAACCCGGGAAATGTTTTGTTCAAATTGTTATTGTTTAATGTTACGTAATAAACAGATCGAGTGAATAGAATAGATAATTAAGTAAATGTAGAATTTTTTTCTCAATTTAGCAGTCTTGGTAGTTGAGTTCAAGGGTGCACGCATTTTAATAGGCGAAGTGGATTGAAAAAACCTTAACTCAGAAAACAATTTGCATGTCGTGAGCTATAATAGTTAACAGTTTAAAAATCGTCAAATAATAAAGGGATCAGTGAATTATCAATTCATTTAAGCTTTGCAAGCTATTGGTGATTTTTCTTAACTGAACTGGAATTGATCTTTCTGATTCAGTTTAAACTGAAAGATTACTTCCCAATTTTTGTTAAAATTAGCTGGTGAAACATGACCTTTAGTCATTGGTTCGAGCAACTTTGTGCGGGTGATTTACCATATACATTTGATCTGATTTGCTACTAGAATTATCACTGAAATCTCATCAATTCACTCCTTATTAATCAACCGTTTGTCGCTGCAATAACCAAAAATAAGTTATGAGCCCAGATGACCAATCACGAGTGAGAAGTCGGGAGTCAAGATTGACTGTTCGTTCAAACGAATAAAAAAAAAGCTGAGATTTGCAGTGGAGTTGTGATAGTGGAAATCACAACTTGAAATATACAACTGATCAGTTAGATAACTGCGAGAAAAGAAGCAGGCCAAAACAACTTGGACAAAGACGATTGATCAGACAGAGATGCGCAAAAATAGAAAAATGGCAACACAACTTCTAGAGATAGACAACTCTGACGATAGAAGCAGGGAAACACAACAGAGAAGATAGAAGACGGTCAAAAGCTACAAGAAGGGGCATTCAGTGAGCACAGCAGTGGAAGAAGCACTACACTGTTGATAGTGAAAGAAAACTGAACCAAACTGATAAATTACATGTTTTATTCGTAAAAGTTGCTGAATTATACTCAATTTTTGCGGAAGGATAAATTCGTTCGTACGCGGTTGCTCAAAACCGACAGAAAATCAATCCAAGGAATACATTGCAACTAGAAGAAAAAGAAACTGATACACCAGAATAAAAAGACGAACTTCTATTTTGCTAATATATATATTACCTAGTATGAAATCTGAGGAGGGACCTTAGCTTTGCTAAGTTGCTAATGTGTTATTCAGTACGCACTCCGTTAGGTTCCAAATCAGATTTAGGTAATCAAATATACTTGCATAGTTATATTAGCGGGCGATATTGATGTTTATTGAATATGATTTTGATGTAAGAAAAAACGGGGTCATTGAACTTTACCAAGGGTAATACTTAATTTTTTGAATTTTGGATTGGAGCTTAACTTTTGTATGAGAATTAAGTAAAAAATAAGAACAAGGATTGGGAAAGAAATGTCAAAAACTGATAGAATAGTTTTTTCGGGAAATGAAGAAGATTTTTCCTACTTCGAAGAGCAATTCGAGGCACGAATTTTTCACTTGAAGTTAAACAAGAACTTAGATGAGACAGTTGATTATAGAATTTTTATGCCAAGTTTAAGACCGAATGCAAGCAGTGATCAAAAACAAGCTGCGATAGATAAAGTAAAAGAGATTTTTGAAGAAAAACAGTTGCATATCTGGTACGAACTTGTGCAGGCTCTAGATAAGAAATCAGTTTTGTTTTTAAGACCTTATAAAGGCAATGGTAGTAAAACTTGGGATGTTTTACGGAAAAAGTTCAAGAGTTTTGAAAGACCCAGGCTGCAAAAACTAATCTCCGAACTTACATTTTTGAAAAAGAATAGCAGAGGAGATTCAGTATAGTTTAGAACAAGTGAACGAAGAAATGTTAATTTCAATTATTTGGAAGGACTTCCGAAACAATTTGAAACTTTTTCTACTATAGCTAATTTTAGAAGAGATGAAAAACGTTTAGATGAGTTGAAAGGAGATTTAGTGAATTTTGATAGCGAGAGACAAGTAATCGAAAAAGAGCATGCTTTTAATAGCGAGAACAGAGTTTGTTTCAAGTGTCATAAAAGAGGACATGTGTCGAAACAGTGCAGATAAAACTTAAGCAGCAGACGAGATAGTGAAGATAGAGCTCGAAAAATTCAGTGCTATGAGTGCAAGGAGTTTGGACATATTGCAAAATTTTGCCAAGCAAAGAAAAAATTCATTAGTAAGACTAAACGAGAACAGCAAAACCTAGTAGCTGAAACAGAGGCTCATTTTAGTTTCCTGAGTGGAGTGTCTCCGGGCGAGGACTTAGCTGTAGACTCTGTAGCTACCAATAATATGATTAAGGATCGAGACATGTTTGTTATTTTAGATGAGAACTTCAAAGGATTGGTTAGCAATGCAAAAATTTTAGGGAAAGGTGAAGTTAGATTCAGAGTGAAAGATGAGGAAGGCGAGTTTAAGATGATTGAGCTGAAGGATACTTTGTACGTTCCTGAAAACTCAAGAAATTTGCTGAGTGTATCAAAAATGAAGAAAGCAGGAGCAGAAGTTGTTTTTAGTGCGAGCTCGTTTGTTCGCCAGGGAAATGGATCAGTTTACCCATTAAGAGGTCTCTTTTTATGGGACACTTTTGTAGGAAAAGACGAATGTTATGTAGTAAGCACATTGAAACAGTGGCATTGCAGGATGGGTCATAATAACTACAAAGATTTAAGTCATTTGGAGCAACATATTGAAGGCATGAAGATTACTGATTTTAAAATTGAGAATTGTGAAACTTGTGAGTTGAACAAAGCAAAAAAGAAGCCAGTCCCAAAAGATTTTTATATCAGGGCAACCAGGACACTAGATATTGTTCACACAGATATTTTAGGTCCTATTGACCCGATAGCAGAGGATGGACATAGATATGCTATAGGTTTTGTGGACAGTTTTTCTAGATATCTGAAAATTTATTTCATGAAGACGAGAGAAGAGGCAACAAAAAAGTTGGATAGGTTCATAGCAGACATAGGAGTCCCTCAGACTTTAGTTTTAGACGGCGCAGGAGAATACATAGGTCAAGATTTTAGGCGAGTTTGTAGGAAACAAAAAATAAGACTGGAAACATTGGCTCCTTATACCCCTCAAGAGAACGGAAAGATAGAAAGGGTGTGGGGAACAATTACTCCAATGGCTCGCTGCATGATTTTTGATGCATTTTATCGAAAACTTATTGGCCTTATGCTCCTAATATGGCTACTAATCTCAAAAATATGTGCTTTCATTCTGCTATAGGCAAAACACCCTACGAGTCAATGTATGGAGAAAAACCCAACCTTAATTTTGTGAAAATTTTTGGGTGTGTAGCGTATAGTTTTGTGGAAAAACAGTTTCGCAAAAAACTAGACAAAAACTCTAGAAGGGGAATTTTTCTGGGGACATCGGAAAATAGTAAAGCTTATCTGATAGGAATTGAGAGTGAAGGAAAACTCAAAGTGCAAAAGTTTAGAAACGTTAGTTTTGACGAATCTAAGTTCTACTTTAAGAAAAAGATAGAAAGTGACGAAGGAGAAAGAGTAGGTGATGTAGTATTTCTTGGAGAAGTTCTCGAAAATATACCGAAAACTGCTAAGGAAGCTTTAGCAGACCTTGACTGGCAAGAAGCAATGAAAAAAGAGTTCGATTCATTAGAGAAAAACAAAGTTTGGGAACTAGTTAGAAATAGAGGAGAGAAGCCTATAGGCAGCAGATAGCATTTTGCTTTGAAGTACGGACCTAATGGTGAATTTTCCAGGTTTAAGGCTAGGTTTGTTGCTAAAGAATTTAGCCAAGTGGAGGGAAGGGGTTTTCACGAAACGTATTCGCCTACAGCCAAGATGTCGACCATAAGAATAGTCCTGAGCATAGCAGTTCAAAATAGGTATCAGTTGAGACAGTTAGACATTAAAACTGCATACTTGAATGCCAAACTAGATGAAGAAATTCTTATGAAGAAAACTGAGGGGTTCGAGAAGTTTGATGAAGAAGGAAAACCTTTAGTTTGTCTTCTGAAAAAAAGTCTTTATGGACTGAAGCAGTCCGCTAGAAACTGGTATAGGACTCTAAAAAGCTATCTTGAAGAATTAGGTTTTAGAAATTCAGTTTTTGATGAGTGCTTGTTTGTTGGGAGGATTGAGGGAGAGAAAAAAGGTTTAATTTGCTTGTGGGTCGATGATATAGTGGTTTGTGGAGCAGACAAAAATTTCTGTAGCTGGTTTGAAAACAATATCTCTGAAAAATTTGAGATAAGCGAGATAAGTGATCTTAAATGGTTCTTAGGAATGAAAAATGATTACTCAGGAAACGAAATTAGGATAAGCCAGGAGAAATATGTTGAAAAATTGATATCAAGATTTAGGATGACCAAAGCAAAGCCGATAACGACCCCTATTGGTGAAAACGAAAAACTGACAAACGAAGATTGTCCTTTTGAAGGTAGCATAGAACAAGAAAATATGAAAAAATGTGACTATCGAGGACTTGTTGGTTGTCTAAATTACCTAGCTTTATCAAGTAGACCCGACATTTGCTTTGCAGCAAATCTTCTAAGTTCTTTTGTGGAAAACCCAGGTAAAAAGCATTGGAAAGCCGGAAAAAATTGTCTTAGATATCTGCTAGGAACAAAAAATTTAACTTTAGTATACAGGAGGGATAAGGCCTTTAATCTTGTTAGCTATTCGGATGCGGACTGGGCTGGAAATATAGACAATAGGAGAAGTACCTCAGGATATTGTTTTAAACTCAGTGACAACTCAGGTGTAATAAGTTGGTCTAGCAGACTTCAGCGTTGTGTATCAACTTCAACAGCCGAAGCAGAACACAATGCTGTGGTCGAAACAGTAAAGGAAGGAATTCATTTACAGGGCATACTTAGCGACTTAGGCATAATTTGTAATAGGCTTTTAGAAGTTTTCGTTGATAACCAAGCTTGTATTGCCCTTTGTAAACACTCAATGAACCACGGCAAGACGAAGCATTTTGCCATAAAACTACACTTCCTTCGAGAGTTAGTTGAACAGAAGAAGGTGACCTTAACTTTTTTTATTAACCAACAGCAAACATGCCTCCAGACGCATTGACAAAAAACTTGGGAAAGTGCAAAACTGCAGTTTTCCGAGATTTTCTACTAGGAACCACCTAATTTGAAAGGCGGGGTATTGGTGATTTTTCTTAACTGAACTGGAATTGATCTTTCTTATTCAGTTCAAACTGAAAGATCACTTCCCGGTTTTTGTTAAAATTAGCTGGTGAAACATGACCTTTAGTCGTTAGTTCGAGCAACTTTGTGCGGTTGATTTACCATACATATTTGATCTGATTTGCTACTAGAATTATCACTCAAATCTCATTAATTCACTCCTTATTAATCAACCGTTTGTCGCTGCAATAACCTTGATAATAGTTAACAGTTTAAAAATCGTCAAATAATAAAGGGATCAGTGAATTTTCAATTCATTTAAATTTTGCAAGCTAAAGATTTTTTTGCAAAGCGTCCGAAAGATGCAATCTTTGATTAGATTGGGTATTGTATTATGAGTGCAGCAAAGAAAAAGTAAACTTAATGCAGAAGCAAATAATTTAGTTTGATTAAATTAAGTTTCCGAGCGCTCTTAAAACACCAAATAGACTATTTTAATAAATTGTTGTGCCGCAGGTGATTTTTCGATTTAGAAAAACTGGCATAAAAAGACGTTTTTGAGAACTGTTTGGATGCTTTTGATCAAAATTGCAATTTTGGACCCTTCAAAAAGATGTCGTAAGCAGTAACAAAGGGCGTGCCTTTTAGATGTTGAGGGGGTCGAAACCGTGACAGAGGGAAGACGTCCTCTCCCCTAATTACATCCCTGATTTCCGGCATAAGAGACTAATTTAGAAGCATTGATACCATCTAAGTTAGACTTAATAGTCAAAAATGTGAAGCTGTTTGATTACAGCTCGAAGAAAAACTGAACAATTCAAAGATACTAATTAATCAGTCGGCGCAACCTTATTTTCTTTACTTAGAATAAACATCGGATACCTGCGTAGACTGGACAGAAAGATCATCATCTACAGATTCACTTCAAAATCGCACTTTTTCTTTGAGATAATAAACTCAATTTACTTAAGGTATATATATGTATTTGAAATGATAATTCGCCATTGGCTATTCCACTATCGACTACTGTACCATTCTTCCTCCCCCCGCCCACAAACCCCCCCCCCCCCCCAACCCCAACCCCCCCCCCCCATTCAATGCAATGCCAACATTTATAATGTGAAATAGTCGGGGGGAGGGGGAGGGAGGGTTGTGGAAAGCAATTAGTTTGCACACAAACTTACTCAAAACGTTCAAGAAGATAAGTTTTATTGGTTAAAGGAAAGAGACAAGACAAAAATATTCATTTATAGAATATAAATCGAAACAGAGATATGTTTAAATATTTAAAAACTATGAAACTATGTGGAACTGCTTGATATGATTATTATTTCAGCACCTGGCTTTTCGGCTCTTTAACCGTTTCCCCCAACTGAGATTTTTATGATCAAAGACATTTGTTCACATTGCTTGACAATTTGTTAACTTAATCGGCTCTTTTCCAGTCCCCCCTTTCATTTTTTTCTGAATTTCAATTTACGGAAGTCTATTTAAAATTAACTTTATTGTTATAAACTGCTTCAAAACGTGTCAGCGTGAACAGGTGAACAAATTCTTACAACATTTTTTACATGCAAAATTCTGTGTGAACAACTTTTGAACTGCTTTATTTTGTAATTATATACCATTATATACCAGGGGGTGGGAAACTGGAAAGGGGTCTTTTAAAAATAATTTTCAATCAATTTTGAACGCACTTGCTCTCCATGCTTTTAAGCTTGTAACACCAATAGCTCCTGAAAAAAATCCGTGTGGGGTAGGAAAAAAGTCAAAGAGTTTTTGTTTTAGACTGTGTTCTTTTTTTTATTCCAGGTTTTCATCGAAACTGCCATTTTTCAGACGTCTGCTTTCATCATAAATAAGAGCTGAGTTGTTAGGAACAATTTCAAGGCGATCTTTCGGAAAACTGTTGCAATAATCAGGCGTTGCCTGTCCTTTCGTAAACTCTTGGTGAACAAAATTCAACTCTGAAGGAGTCAATTGATGAATAGCAATTGAATTTTTCCTGTTACAATAACGTAGGCCGAACGCAATTTGACCTGCGTGCAAGGCATATTTGGAATTCAAGTATTCAAAACGAACTCTAATTTTGGAAGCTTCGATTGCAACTCCAACAAAAATGTCTTCAAGAGGAAACTGATTAATTCTACTGGACGTTTGGTAAATTAACTTCGCCAAGTAATTATCCATTCCGTAGGCCATTCCAAAACAGTAACGAGGCACCGTAGGCTCCGACCATTCCAGATACGAGACGTAAGAGCTCTCTCGTGGATTTCGGCTTACAAACGATCGATTTGTGGTACAATAACCAAAAATGGAAACCGGTTCTAAGTTTGCTACTACTTTATACAAGTTTGAATATACTATATACACATCGTCGTCGGCCTTTAAAACTATGTCGGCGTTCGGGCAGTTCCAGACAAACCAATGAAAAGCCATCTTCGTTTTAGAAGTCATCGACCGATAGTTGTCTTGGAAGTTTCCGACAATCATGTCTTCGTGGATTTTATTTTCAGCTTCCAGCTTTGAAACACTTTCCTTGTTTTCCGTTGTATTTTTCATTCCAATCAAAAACATGACCGTAAATAAAACGTTTTTTAATTTTCCCTTTTTAGCATAAGTCGTTCGGATTGCTTGACGAGCTTCGTAGTTCTCGGGTTTTGACGAGACAAAAATCAGAACTTGTTTTGCACTTTCGTCCGAGTTATTTACTTTGTTGTCTATATTTTGGCACTTAGTTGGATTTTGGATCAGATAGAAGGCATTTTTACCGAGTTCGTCCGATATTTTTTTCCCGAAAAATGAAGCTGGAGGCGGCGTTTGGGCTCTCGCCTCGTGCATGTCTTTGAACGCCTCGGGGATGTTGTCGTAATTTATTTCTTGTTTCGAGTATAACGCAATAGCTTCGATATGACTTGGGTTCGGAAATTGAATGATTGCAATACATAGTAAAAAGTAGACAAATAGAATTAAAAGCACACATCTAAGGCGACTTTTGACGTGCATGATGAACCTTTGGGAAAAGTGAGGCATGGTGAAAAAAGGCGAGGTGCGATGCTTCCGCGGCACTACAGGAAGAGAGGAGTTTAGTTCTGATCCGCTCGCGGATGAAATGATGTCTTCGTTAAAAATTCCAGCCACGTGCGTTTTTTGGAAATCATGACTGTTTTTGCACCGCTTGGAACGGATTTTAAAACGATTAAATTGCACTTGAAGCATATTTTATATTGCGTTTTCTGTAAGATTTCGGCTCAGTTTCTTGAGGTTTGATAGTTTTTTTACTGCAGCTTTCAAGAACAATTGGTACTAAAGTATAACAAAGAGATTAAATGTTTTGGAAATCAGCAAAAGTAAATATAAGCTTGAATAAAATGGAAAGCAATGGAGCTATTTTTGAATGCTTGTGGGATTAGTAAACAATTTATTCTTGAGAAAAGCACTTTTTCATAAAATGTATAAGCTTGAAAAGACTGATACGCACTTAGCTCACAATTTTCTAATGATGCTTTGTGAATATTTAATTTATATGGTAGAAAATGTGCCAAAAAACACGTTGAAACAAAACTAGTATATAGATTTCTTCAGTCACCAAATCAATAAAGCGACAGTAATGATTTCAATTTAGTTTGAAGCTTCCAATTAAGCGAAAAAATTGGCGTTTTTAAAATGAATTTGTCAATAAACGTACTGTAAAATTTCACAACTAAAAATTTTCAATATGCTACCACAGCATGTTAAGTATAATTAAATGAAAAATGTTGAAAAATGCATGGGAAAAACTAAAAGTATCTGGTTGAAATTTTGTTTTCCGCTTGACTGAAGCTGTAACATGAAAACTTGATACCACTTATCGTTATAGATAATGGTGTTTTGTTTGCGTTTTGGCAAAACTTACAAATTGTTTGTTTTCGATCTACAAAAAGGTTCAAAAGTTCTCAAGATTATTTGTTATTTGAAGTTCTCCTGCCTCGAGTAATGTTATAACGATCAATAATCAAACAGCAACTAGGTCAATATATTTTAAACCATAATCAAACGTTTGAAAATTGTGTAAATTTTGGAGTAAAAGCAAGTAAAGTTTGAAATCATTGGATTTGAATAGATGTATTTTGAAATTTTCAACTGATTCCTCAAGATATTTCAGTTGACCAAGTTGGTATTTTTGACGTTTGACTTTTGCGGAAGTGGAAAACACAGGATTTACCGCTGTTTTGGTCAAAGATTTTTGGTTCTTTTGTCCGTTGGATGGATCATTTCGACAAAAATTTTGCATAGATATTTCATTTCGGTGCCAGAAAACAATACCCAACTGCAATCATCATTTTTCAATCCCACAATTCTTGCTCGGGTTTTCTCTCACGAATGTTTGCTTCAAATGTGAACAAGTCAACATTGAAGTGATAACTTTTGGGCACCTAGCTAGATATCATTTGAATTGCAACCATGATATTGAATCTCGGAGAGATCAAGTTTGAAAATTGAATTTCAAACACATTAAAGCCTGATTGTTTTTGATTCCGACTTCAAAAATGTCAAAAAAATTAACTTTGTTGAGAAAATTTGCAGAAATTAATTTGCGCGAAAGAAGAAAAGTAAAAAAAAGAGCTTGTTATCAAACTTTACAGCCTTTTAACGTGATTTTTAGCTACTATCAACTGATTATAGCATTATTGTTTCTAACAATACCCCTCCCTTCTAAAAATAGAAAATATGATGGAGAACCATCCGTTTTTTATTTTTTTTTATTTTTAAATTGATATTATTAAATTACTAGGCTCGGAACATTTTTTTGCTGTTGTGCATTGGCAATCGGATTGCGATCGGCAATCGGACGCAAAAAACTTCTCATTCTTGAGCTTTAAGTTTTTCTTAGCAATCAAAAAATCATTTTCACTATGATTTCATTTAGATTGAATCAGAATATTTTCTCTATTTTTAATTATGGCACAAACCCTTTACAAAAAAAAATAAGTGACAGCAAGAAAAAGGGAAGCGGCCAATTTTTTTTGTTGGAAAATACTCAAGAAACTATACAACAAAGAGCGTCGGTTTTCTCTGCAGTGTCGAATAAAAGCATACAAGATAAAAAAAAGTATGGGGAAAAAATCACTATGCAAGCAGGAACACTGTCATGTTCAAAATTTTAAGGCCAGCTGGCGCCCCCTGTTGAGAACTTTCAAAAACCAAGTTTTTCTTTGATAAAAAATATTTTTATTTGCTACAACTCAGTTATCGTCGGCTTAAGCGTTCTCTTTACAACGAAAAATTGGTCTTTGTTTGTTGAAATATCAGTTGAAGAGCCGCTCAGCAAGCGGTGGTAAAAAACGCGAAGCTGCAATTGCGATAAGAAGAATACTTGTCTATGGTTCCTTTGTTTTAGAATATGCCATTGAATAAAGTAAAAAACACAAAATGAAAAATAAAATTAACTAAATTAACATTAAGAATGAACTAAAAAAATTGAAAATCAGCGTCTGATTGAGACTATTAATTTAGTCTGAAAAACCAAAACATTCAGACCAGTTTTCGCTGATTTCTAGGCAAGTTTTTAGTATCCGAATAACAACCAACAGAGTTTAAATAGGTCACCACACACTTTTTAACCATTATTAACCTCATCATTAACCTTTATCAGTTTATTTGGTTAAGTAAAAATGATTTAAAAAACCATAACTAGCATACAGTTTCTTCAAACTTTGTGAAAAAGGTCGGAACACCATAAAAGGTGGCTGCTATGACAGTATCACAGAGTAATTGTTCACGATGTTCTTGTAGATTTAATTCGAAACTCAAGAATAAAACGGAAAAAAACTCAAATATTCAATTTTGCTAAGCAAAAAGAAAACAACTTGCAATTTTTTTTGAATGTGTAAGAACTTGTACAAAAAAACGGTATATCACATCACAAATTTTGACTACAGAATTTTGTCTACAGTTTTTTAAAGAAGGGAAAAATTTAATGTCATTTTTGTCCGCGCGAGGTCATTTTTTAGAACTTCTTCAGGAATTCTAAGTCCACAGTTGAAAATTTTTAAGATTTGAAAATCAAAACCGTACAAGTAATCATTGACAGTGTTCATTCAGCGTGAAAAATAGCAACTCTGGTCAAACACTTTTCACCCGAAAAAGGTGGTCATAACATTTATTCGGCAACATAATACGACAAATCACAAGAAAAGACCAAAAAAGACTCATACAAGATAAATCGCAATAAACTCGTATAATCATTACGAGGCCAAACTGTGTATTTTATGCATTGTAAGCGGATTCGGCAACAAGGACGCTCTCTTTGACCTTCTTTTGTTCTTTCATTCTCTTTGATCGTTCCGACAAAAATATAACGTGTTTATAGACCTGTATCTGGAATCCAGGAACATAAAAACACAAAATTGTGCGCCTATCCAGTTCACAGTTTGGCCTGGTACTGATAATCCCTGACAAACACTTGCTCGAAAAGGTATGAGTATATTTGTTCGATTAATACCAAAAAGAGTCCAAAAACTTGATTGCATTCCTTGGTATGTAATCATTTTGATTCTTAAAATGATTCTAGTCATTCAAATAAAATTGCAATTCAGTACTAGTCAGGGCAGGAAAATAATCTTGATCTTTGAAAGTGAAAAGTATCATTTAGTTTTGTTTAATGAAAAAAGCGGGCTAACAGCTTGCCGATGTTTGGAAAGTACTTGATAACCACAAGTACTCACACGTGATGATATATTTGTGGAAAAAAATTGGATCTTTTACGTTCCTCTTGGACATTCCGTTATGCCTCATGAACAAGAAAATGAAAAATAGGATTTCTATGCGTGTCTCAATTTTTTCGCACTTTTTCAATTTATAATTTCATAATCATTGGTTCAAAACAAATTAAAAAGCATGACCGTTAATCGTGCATAGCAATTACAAATTAACGATGAATATGCGAAAAAACAAGGTTTGACACATAATTCCGAAATATAGTTCTCACTAATTGCAGTATTTCTGGGTGGCAAATTTTTTATTTTTCAAAAACATAAGGTCATGCAAAAAAATAAAGCTCGAAAAAGACGCAAGAACATCCCCGATCTGTTTATCAAAACATAACCAGTATCTGAAACATCCCAAACTTACTTCGATTGCAAGATTGGTTCAACGAGAAATTGATCTTGGAGTTGTGCCAAAGACCGGGGGGGGGGCAACGCATATTCAATGGAACTTCAAACCACAACACAAAGTGGGGAGTTTTTCTTGGCTCATGACGAGGGGTCGAAGGATTCCGACCGACTTCTTGTGTTCCCCATTGAGGCAAGTTTGGACATTCTTGAGCGTTAAACTGGTGGCAGATTTAAAAAAAATCCACCGCTGTTATATCAAGTTCGGGCATTACATGAAGCTAACTCACGATCAAAAACTGTTGTTGGTTTCAAAAAAGCAGCAATTTTTACTTGCAAATTCGAATTCCCCACAGGGTCCGTAAGAGGGTGCTTTTTTAATTTGGCGAAATTTACAAGAATTAGAACTGGCGGTTGAAAACAGAAAAAAAACGAAGACTTAAGACAAAAGAGGATATCAATTTTTGTGCTGGCTCTTATTTCTGAATAAGACTTAAAAAAATCTCGCCACAACAACAACTGAGAATGAGCAGCTCCTCTCATATCCTGATTAAGCAAAAAAAGGTGGGTGCGGGATAATATACGTCGAGTTTTACAAAAAAAGATCCAGTTTTCAAACCAGCTTTATGGAATCAGCTCAGCAATCCGTTTATTGGAGTTCAAAAAAATGCTCACCCACTGTATCAAACAAATTTAAAGGAGCAAAGTTTAACCGCAAATTGCCTTGATCTGGTTGAAATCCAGAAAAAAGCACTGTGAAAATCTTAAATACAATCAATTGCAACAAAAGATACCAGAAACTCTTAAAAACTATCAAATTAATAATCTCACTTCGCAGTTAGAAGCTTTTTCACTTAATTTTTATCTGTAGAACCCCAAAACAAAACTTTTCACCTCAAAGGCTTTGATTACCGCTTTTGTTTCATATTTAGATTAAAGGAAAATTTAGGTTTCTTCCGAACTTTATAGGAGTTTTAAGTTTCTCTTTTAAGGTGTCTTTTGTAGCAATTTTTCGCAGTACCCTTTTGCATGCAAGAGAGATGGCTCCCACCACAAAGATTTTTAAAAATTAAAAGAATATCTAAAACATTGTGAAAAAAAATTTTCTGAAGAAGTTCTAAAAAAATGATTTTTAAATGGCGCGATGAAATAGGTCGAGCATAAAATCAAGTTGCACCTAGATTATGGTCAAAACGTAACAAGAAATTGCCATGTAAATTTGAGATTTTTTGAGCTCACTCATTAAAACCCCAAGATTTTTCAAGCACAGTCAATCTTTCAATTAAATTTTTCTAAAAATGAAACTTCGAGCATCGGACTTGACAGTAAAATAGCGACTTTTGAGGTAGAAAAATTTTGAGCAAACGGGTTGAAGTTTAAGACATTATCAACAGAATTCTCTAAATTGGCTCATCAGAGAGCGCTGGAAATATCAAGAATATCATTTGCGGAGAAATTTGTTTTTTTTTCTAACGTCACCTTCAAACAACCTATTCAAAGTACAATATGATACTTTTACCATATAGTAACAAAATGATTGGAATACAAAGCATGTTTCAACTCAATTTGGACCAATTTC